CTAGACAGCACAGTTACATACTGAGATGAGCAAAATCCAAAATGAGGAAAACCACAGACATGAAGTATATCCACAGAAAAGAAGCATAAATTGATGATTAAATCAAAACATTAAGATAAATAACTGCAAAAATTTAAGGTATACCCACATCAGCGGATAACTCCTCCTTCTGCTCTTTAGCCTCAACCAAATACTGTATGGAATACAGCGCCGCCTCGCGTACTGAGGTGGCTACTTGTGTTGCAGCAGCATCTTCGACAAAGGAGGATTCTTCGGCACATCGTATAGCTGACTAAAATGGTTGTGCATCAAAGAGTTTATCGGGCCCATTGATGGTAATCATGAATGCAGACACCATGCAAGGAAAAAGTGTATGAAGGCGAAGAACGGACCTCCAATATGGAGAAACAGACAGCCAAGCTTTCTGTATTGATGGTCTCCGGCTTGTCCAAACACATTCGCATCTGCACAACAACGAGATGAACAAGCAACACGAGTAGACTAACGTCCGGAGCGAGCCAGTCAGTTCCAAGTGTCTAAACGAACACTTTTCACCTAGGCACTCAAACTGAGTTGCATACTCTGTAACACATACCTCTAGAACTTCTTTTGCCAGCTTGAACACTTGTACTCTCATGCTGTCTGTGAGCATTTCTGTTCTGGTTTTCAGAAAAGCTTTGACTAAGGTGCGGATATCTTTCGGCCATGAGTAACTCTTGGATACGAGCTCTAAAAGGTACCAAGTTGAGCAACAGAGAGAGTTGCTACAGCAAGATAGGTGCCATACTTATCGGGTTCAACCGGTTCATCCAATTCAGCTCATTCACTCTTGGTCAATTCAGTGATTTGACCAACAGCGAATGGGATGACCGGGTGAACCGATTAAATCGGATAGTCTGGCACCTATCAAACTAACCATACCATGTCTGCGAGATAAGAGCAATAAACTACAACGACCTATTCAACAAGGGAAGCTACCTAACTTAGCTCGGCCTTTTGGCAA